TGAATAAATTCGGCTAATTCGGACCGCCTGGAGTCTGAGTGGTACCTTCCCAGGGGTTTCGGCACTGTAATGAGATGTGTAAGGTGTGCAGCTATGGCTGGTCCTCACATCAGATCAGGTATACAGGGCAACTTATACATATCCATCATCTGTCTACTTGGGATTGTTAAAATGAGGCCACTTCATGAGGGATCTCTGATAAAATTAAAATCAATTATTTCCCAGAATATAAATTAAATTTGTCATCAATCATGATGATTATCTAATACCCATATCAGAACTGTGTTTCTTAATCTCACTACCTTATTCAGGAAGATGACTGGGCCACGTGGATTTATGGTTGGTTCACAAGCCCTAAAAGGGTCACATTCTGACTAAAATACCACAGGTTATAAATGTGCCCATCTATGTATATGGTTTCCTTATACTGAAGATTGTTGGAAAAGAATAAGATTCAGAAATCAAGTACAGGAAGTGAATAACGGAAGTGCAGGAAACAAATAGAATGAAAGATGTTGTATTAGTTACCTTCCTGTTGCTGTGATAACATAACCAAAAGCAACTCAGTGAGTTTATTTTGTCTCAAGCTTCCAGGTTTGATGTCCATAATGACAGGAAGAGAATATTGAGAGATCATGTCTCAGCCACAGGAAAAAGAGAGTGCAAGCAGGAAATGGGATGACTGTACATTCTCGAAGCCTGACCCCCGGGACATACTTCCTTCTGCAATGCTGTATCTCAAAAACTTCCTCAAACAGAGCCACCAAATGGTGCCCAAATGTTCAAACACATGAGTCTGTGGGGGACATTTCCCATTTAAACCACAATAAAAACCCATTTGAAAAATGGAGATACATGTTAAACACTGCTTTCATTTAAGTCACACAGTTTGAAAAAAGGTATCTAAATATTCATAAAGAGTACCTCAATATCTTCCCCCATGGTTCTGTGGCAAAAAAATTCATGCATTGCAGATGCTTTGATAAGTACTCACGACTACCCAGGTTTTTGTGTTATTAAATGTAGCTAACTTGTAAAGACCCTGACACCAAACACCATGCCATACTGTGTGGACCAAGCTGACTTCTATGTGATGTTATGATTAGAACTCATCACACTACGCTTATCAGTGAACTTTGGGATGGAAATCACTTGTCACCCTCAGAATCAATCTGAATCAAACAAAGAAAACATTTGCAAAATAAAACTGTGATCACTCTCTTGGCATCTGTTGCTACAATTTTATGTACAACAGAACGCAGGCTTTAGCAAGTCTGTGAAGTGCTTTCACTGACATTACCGTCATGATTATCCATAGCAAAACTCTACACCATTACATATTCTTTAGCTCTGATTTTTTTTTCTTCTTTTATATCAGGGAAATTGATTTGAATAGATTTTGTGACAAGAAGTAGACAGCCAATCAAGAAATATTACCTCTACAGTAGAAACTGATAGAAATCAAATATCACAAGAAAGTAACTGAAAAGGTTAATTGTTACTATCTCTGAAACAGTGTTTATTTCTTTTTATATTACCGTATTTTCCACATTTTCTAAAATGAAGATACCAAAATGTAATCATTGAAAACACAAACATTATTAATTTTTAACAATGCTGGCATAAAGCAGGGTTTGAATGCCAACACATTTAGAGAAATATGAAGGATAATGGTTGCCTTAGAAATGGCAACTGTATGAACCCTTCCAGAAATTGCATGGATTCTGATTCAAATACCGTCGGGGGCTACATAACTACAAATTGCCTAAGGAGATATTTTTCTTCTACAGCACAATGAACTCCCTTTATCAAAGAGTGCAAGGGGTCTTCAACTGAATTCAATTTCAGGAACAGAAAGAATCACTGGTATAAAGTTAAACCATCCAATACATGGCTTCAAGGTGTCCAGTGCAAACAATGTAAAAAGGAAAGCATCATTCTATTTTTCCACAGCTTTTATTTTTAAACCATTACTGATTTCTGAAAAACACACCTGTTATCCAAACTTCTCTTGCTAGGTCATGCCTTCCCGACAGGAATCTGAGGGCTGGGATATTTTTAAACTTTTATAACTGGTTCAGACTCCTTCTCAAACTTAATCCCAACCAAATTTCCTAGATGAAATTCCTGTCCTCTTCCTTTGGCCTCATCTGCCTGAAATGTTTGCAGAAATGTGGATTCATCTGAGTAGCTCACAGCTTCCCTAGGCTGTCTGCTTACCAGAAGCCTGTTAATATAACCATCATTTGTCAGGCACTATTTCATTTAATCTTCACAACAGCTGAAAGGAGTAAAAATTATTATATCAACTTTGAAGATAAGAAAATTAGGCTCAGAAACAGGCTCTGAGTTACTAAGCTAGGGAAAGTCAAACCACTCCTCTCTTCCTGTCCTTCCTTTATCTACAATGTGTCACACAAAGAGTAAGCAGCCCAAGCCCCACAAGTCTCTAGGCTCCTGAGGCATGCTTACAATAGAACATTACATTTTGCTTATCTGAAATTCAGGTGCATTGAGCACAAGTTTGTTCTTGTTTGTTCTGGACATTACCCTGAATGCTCAGGTGACACAGGCACAGGTCGATTTCCTACCAGCATGGCTAAGGGGACAACGTGTGGAGAAGGACAGATTGGAGCTGATCAGGTAGAGAGGCCCCTACTTTTCATTGGGAACAATTTCCAACCACTACTCAACCCAGGACAGGCACAGAAGACAACATGTCCCAATCTTCAACTTACTGTGTCGTCTCACATTCTTTAAGAAAAGCCTATGTGTTGGCCCAATGCCAAATTCTACAACAGAAGAGATGCAACGGCCTGTTCACAAGCAGCCTCCAGAGGTGGGGGGAGACTCTCATCAATATTGGAAAGCCTTTTACAAAGGTCTGTAAGATGAGTGAGGGACACAAAATTCAGCAGCACAAGCTGAAGTTATCTTTGCATGTGCTTTTGAGGATGTGTTCTCAGCCCCCTGGATCAGAGAGATTCTAAAGGTGAGTCTTGGGGTATAGAGCCTGCCAACCTTGTGGCCTTCCTAAGTGTAAGTATCTGGAATAAACATGTTTCCCTGAAATGCCTCTCAGATACAGAAAGGGATAATCAAATCCTGGATGCGAGGTTGCTGAATCACCTGGTATCTTTGAGTTTCTACAAGGGGAAGAAACTGTGCGATGTTCTAGGGAAACGAAGGAAGGAAAGGTTTGACACAGCCTCCACCATCTGGGTAAGGGTTCAAGTCTGTGACTAAAAAGTACAACATTCTTCAATAGTTGCAGTGATGAGAGTAGACCCCTGGGTGCTAATGGGACCTCACCGAGCAGGTTATGTGAAAGTGCATGACCAGTGAAGGATCTTGATTCAGATGCTTCTATGATAACGTCCACCGAAGCAGAGAATCTGGAATGGAGTAGTGGAGGGGTAGGCCAGCAATTCAGGAAAAAAATTAAACCACATCACCAAATCCCAAAAGCAAGAAACTATATTCTACAGTTATGAGAGACCTAAACATGTCCATATGCTTAGACTATGTGGAAAAAAATAAAATAAAATAAAATAAAATAAAATAAAATAAAATAAAATAAAATAAAATAAAATGGAGAAATTGTAAGGGACATGGGATGCCAAGGGAGAGTGTTGGTGCTCCCAGAGACAGGCATTTGCAAAGAGGATGTTGGCCACCATATGCATAAGGAATAGAAAAATCTGGAGACCAGGAGGCCAGCTGAAAACATTTCTAATATACAGCCCAGACTGTGAATGAGAAAATTTGATGAAGTCATTGTTGGAAAGTCCCTTGTACTAACAATGGATGAAAGTAGAGGAAAAGACACCAAGAAATTGTCTAGCCCACACTCAGTCTTCTCATAATCATCCACAGAGGCATCTGCCCTGCACCATGACTGAGGCACCTTCTCTCCATTTTCTGAAAGTTAGACTAGCACAGCATGCCACCTTCATCACTGGAGGCTGATGTGAAGACTCCTTAGAATCTAAAAGGAAGTTTTGGTGAACAGAGGCTGATAACCCCCATGTCCTTCCCAAATGTAGGTGTCTGAAACCAAACTTGAGAATAGAAGTGATGGTTTTAGAGAAGGTTCTATAATGATCTACAGAATCCAGATCATAAGCTACATTAAAGCCTACCTGTGGCTATATGGAAATTTTACATCTCCTATATCTACAAAATTATGTTTTATTATCTAGAAAAATGCTCCAATGAAGAATTGAACACTTCACTGCCCAAAGTACCTTCCTTAGGTTCCTGAAGAATGTGGGTCTGTATGTGGCACCCTTCTTCGACCTGAATGTCAGTTATCTGAGATGAATATAATATGTTTTATGGTATACACTGACAGGACAGGGCACTTGAACACAGGTTTGCACATGTTCTCAAAGGACATGGCAGTAAACAGAAGGGAGAGAACTCTAACCTGTGGGCTGTGCTCCAGTGATGGCAATGTCCATCTGCACTCATGTGCTGCCCTCACCCCGGAATTTCTTCACACTGGGAAGAGGTCTGTAATGACGATAACGCCCCTGAATTTTGAGCTTCCTGGCAAAGGGCTAGTCACGGTAACCAAGAATGTTAATGGTTGGTCTTTAGATGCACATGAGGGCCATTGGATTGCTAAAATTCTACTGAAGAACAGACATAGAAGTTAAGAACATGGTTTCTGGCGTCAAGCTGCCTGGATTTGAAATCTGGGCTTCATTGGGCACAGGCTGACAGAACCCTGCCTGCCCCCAACACACACACTTAGGATTTATGATTGGAAGAAATGAGCTAATGTAGAACTGAGAGGCGCTGATCCACTTGCTCAGAGGACTCCATTGACTACATTTCTAGGATGCAGTGTACAACATGCACACCGCACTTCATTCTTAGACAAAATTACATTATTCAGCACTCATCAGTTTCAGCCAAGAAACTCGCAGTGTAACTGCACAGATGCGAAATGAAACCGGAAAATGCCTACGGAGGTAACACACAACTGTTCTCACCTTGCTCCCGCAACAAGTTCTTTCTGTCCTGGGTCAAATATCAACCGCGAGAAATCCACAGCATTCTTCGCTCTGAACTCCCGTAACCAGGGGCCAATTTCTAAATAGAAAAAAAATAATAATAATAATGAAACTAAATAAGTAAATAAAAGACAAAAATGAATGATTTTTCCTCTGAGGATGACAGAAAAGCATGTCAGGTAGCAAACACCAAGTTCAGGGAGGAATTCAAGTTTCCCCTAGACAATCACTTAGGAGCTACTGGAGGCCTTGGTCAGGATATCACATTAGCACACCATTAAAGTATAAAACACAGAGGGCAGCCACTCCATAAAGAACACTCTAGGCATCAGGGCTTGATTCCTATTTATAAGCCAGATGTGTGTGTTCCTTTTGTCTCTCGGATGGGCAGAAAAATAACATCAGTCACATGACTCATCAGAGCACTAGAGAATGAAAACAAGACCATTTCCTGCTTAACTTGACTGGAAAGGGCTGAACACTGCATATTCTGGAAAGCTCACCTTAGAAAGGAGGACAAAGCACGTGGGGGAGGGAATTTTTTCCTCTTACAAATGAGACTTTCCATTTCCTGGTTTTTTTGGGTTTCTATTTTGGCCAAATGACTACACTTGTTAAACACATTTGGTCCTTTTGAAGTGAAAGATCCACTGATCCTTCCAGGTCCCACTGGTGTTATTTCTAAGAGAAATCAGGAACTAGCCACTCTATGGAAACAGGTTTGTTTTTTTTTTTTTTTTTTTTTAATAAGCACTGTTAACTCTTATTAGAAGGCCTCCAGTCCAGAGCCTCCTTATTAAGAAATGACAGTATTTGAAGAGGGGTGTAATGCTGATTCATGGGCCATTTGGAAGTTTTGGTAGCTCATTTCTGGCAATGAAAAAACATGCAACAAGTTTCCCGCCGGTTTCAGGGTTCTTTATCATTATCCTTGGCAATCAACCATGAAATCTGACGTTCTTTTTTTCTTGGATTTAGTATTTCGAACAATATCATACTAACTAGACAGGCGAATGCCAACTGTCAAATCAATGACGTTGTTGGTTTAAGAAAAGGCAATAATCTCTTTCAACAAATACCAAGGCTAAAAGCAGGTCTACAATGGAATACTCATCCTGTGGCAGGTCCTGTTGAAACAATGTAGGAGGTTTATAACAAAGTATCTTCACTGTCAGTTACTGGCAGGAAAGTGAAATTAACTGAGTGAGCTATTTTCTGCTTAAAGAAAATCAAGGCTGAGCTTATAGAAAGACTTATTTTATAAATTTTAATTTATATGCTATCCTGATGGGTTTTGCTTTTCAGTATTTTACACAAATTTTTTCATGTTTACCATAATTTATTAAAATAAATGCCCATTTATAACTTTGTGCATACAAGACACTGGATCTATAAAAATGTTATTAAGACCAGTCAACCAATCATCCAACCAGCCAGCCAACCAACCAACCAGCCAACCAACCAACCAACTAGTCACCAGCCAGTTAACAAATCTATGTACCTACCAATCTACCAGTCCCTGGTGAGTGATCACTAATTAGTGAAATGGCAGTTTTGTGGCTACTGATGCTCACAGACCACTGTCTGTGCATAAATAATCTGTTACCACTCATAAAGACTTCATATGTTCCCTCAAAATAGTTATCAATAAACGATTCTTCCAAGAGCTTATCGTTCAATCAGTAGTACTAATATCTTCAATAAACATGAATATAATTCACAGGTGCTCGTAGAGTTATAGGAATTATACATGTGGGAGTTGAGACTGGTGACTGATGGGAACATAGGCAACACAAATGACAGACGGCTGCTTCCAGAAGCACAGGGCAGACATCCTAAAGGAACTGGCAAGAGAGCAAAGGGAGACCATGCATCCTTCCGGCTCTGCCTCATATAATCATTCTTACTCAAAATGGAGACCATGGCACCCCTGTGGCCCTACCACATAAAACCCACTGGGGCTACAAGGAGACCCTGTCTCAAAAAAGACAAAAAAACAAAAACAAACAAAAAAACTTCCTTGGTCCAACATGGAGACCATAGTTTCTTTGCGGCCCTACTTCATACAGCCATCTACACTTCCTCTGTTTGAGGGAAGCTAGAAACTGAAGCCCTGGTGTCTGCAGCAGAGACACACTGCCTTGAACACACCAGTCAATGAATAATGTGTGATGTGAACAACTAGGCATGTGTTGAAGAGTGGTGAATTAAAAAGGAAAGACAGAAGCTGAAGAATGAAGAAAACAGCAACAGGAAACTGCTAGAAAGAAAACAGAAATGTGTACTTACATATAAACTCTAGAAAAAGTCATAGACAAGCTGTGAGTTTGGGATTGATATCAGATGTAGGAGCAGAAAAGCTTTAAAAGTTTGTAAGCAAGCACTTGACTCGCTGAACCAAATATCCTGGGTCTACGAATGGGCCAAGAATAGGAAGGTTGCTGTGCAAAGCGCAGAGGAAGAAAGTAGGGGTATCAAAACCCAAAACACTAAAAATCCCATGCAGGAGGAGCAAAGGAAATGGGGAAGTAAGAGATGCTAGGAGAGCCTCGTTAACCAGACTGGGGATCTGAGGTCAATCGTCGGAACAACGAAAAGAGTAAAAGTGTCTGCAGGTCAAATCAGCGATATGGATGAGGATGGAATCTGACTCAGGAGGTTAAAACAGACCTTACAGATTTACTGAAAGATTATGGATTCACATGTATCTATGAGAATGCTACTAAAAATTCCAGACTGCAGGTGGGCTGCAGAGACATTATCAGTTATCACTGAGACCAGAGAAGGCCAGGAGGGCAGATTGCTACCAGGACTAGAATCTCAGGCATGGGGTGGGAGGAGAGAAGACATCTCACTCCCTTCACCATAACTTGCAGGGCCCAGAGCTGAGAACTCAGAGGGCTAAGGCCAACCTTGCTGCTAGTGAAGAAAGACAGGCCTGTTAGGTTCAGATAGGCCTGCCCCCCTCACCAACAGGGCCTCACAAGCCCCTGAGAAAAGGGAACTGAGCTGACAGGCACCCTGGTCTTTGAAGTCAAGAGAAGCAGACTTTTCTCCACTGTTTGGCCAACACAGCAGACTTCCCCTCTGAACTCTGAAGAGGGCAGGTTTTAACAGTCCTGTTCTCCCACTTCCCGCCTCCCCCCACCCAATTTAAAAAAAAAAAGTCTTCCCGCCTTCTGCATCCTCCCAGAAGCCTCCCCCTTTAAAAGACCCCAGCTCACACCCAGGCAGACATTTTCCCTGCCTGGAAGGGAATCTGTCCCATGTGTTCCTTTGCTAATAAAGTATTCTGATGGAGTTTTTTCTATGTCCTGGTGCTATCTCATGATCAACTGGATTCATCCATAGTCTACTGTGTCTATCAAGGCCAAGTAAGGGAAGAGAAGAATGCCAAAGACAGAAGAAACAATCATCTAGCTCGTTTCCCATGCAGCCAGCTTTCCTTTTATTTAGAGGAACTGGATGGTTGGCCACTGGAGGCCAGTGAAGAGAAGTTATTCAGGGTTGAAAAAAAAGACAATGACATTTCTGAAAATGCCCTCAAGTTGTATCAGGAAGAGGAAATGGAGTTAACAGCATAGCTCTGGCAATATTTTTCCATTTCCGCTCTTAAAATTCAATGGCACTTCCCTAAAATAGTAATATTTCTTAAAAAGCCCAACTGTATACTTTTAGTGACAACACTCAATAAAAATTAGGTAAACAATGTAATCTCTGTTTTGACTGGCTGCTGTAGTCCCCTCAATGTTGGTCTGTCTCATCGTTGCATCAGACATACCCTTCCATCTTACTAAATCCATCAAGGATTTTGGAGAGACTGTATTGGCAGACAGATTTCTCCAAGTGACCATGTGAAGACATGAAACATACCTCACTGTAGGTCAGATTTACAGGGCACTGTCTGTCCTCTCTTTGAAGACTAGAGCTCCAACTTCACTACAATCCTATCTCTTTAAATATCTTTATTCCCTATCCTAAATCACTCCCTTTCTCTTAGTATCTACAATATACCAAGTAACTTCCTTTCCACCTACAATCTTTTTTGTTTGTTTGTTTTGTTTTGTTCTTTTTGAGACAGGGTCTCCCTGTAGCCCCAGCTGGCCTGGAACTCACTATGTAGACTAGGCTGGCCTCAGACTCACAGAGATCCACCTGCCTCTGCCTCCCAAGTGCCTGAACTACAGGCATGTGTCACCATGCCCACTCACCTATAATCTTTAAAAAAATATTTTTTTATTTTTATTTTATATGTATGAGTATATTGCCTGCATGTGCGTAAGTGCACCTCTGTTGTGATATGCACATGGAGGTCAGAAGAGGGTGCTGGATTTGCTAGAACTGGAGTTATAGTTGTTAGCTGGCATGTGGATGCTGGGAATTGAACCTGGGTCCTCTGAAAGGGCAGCCAGTGTTCTAAAATGCAGAGCCATCTCTCCAGCCCCCCTACCTATAATCTTATGAACATTCCCCACTTAAAATGTGTTTAAAAGTGTATTTGCTCTTACTCATTTGTTATTAAAAAAAATACATGAACTATTTGCATAAAAAACGCCCATAAATAGAAGGCTAAAAAAGTAACAAAATTAGTTTTATATGTAATTTTGACAAAATTCTTGAGGGATATATAATATTTCACTAGTTATTTCAGACATAAAGGTAAAGCGTCTTAATTAAGGTTGAGGCTATAATTATCATGTTAATCTGGATAGCAAGGCTGGACCCATGACATTGTGAAAATGCGATTTCAAAGGCCAACTGAAAACATAGATGAACATTACTTTAAAGGTGCATATATTACTAGCAAATCAGGTACATGTACACACATGTACACATACACACTACCTATACACACATACATTCACATAGGCACCACACACAAACACACACAAAGAGTCATATGGGACATAGGGCATTGGGATTATCCCAGAAGCATAAGGATGGCTCAGTGATCCTATCAAAAATCTGCAACTTACCATCATAACAAATGTCAATAACAGCAGTAAGAAACTCTCTTGCTTTCTAAGAATCATAAAATGAACAGTTATAGAAACAGACTGGCTAGGCAACTTCAAAGTG